CACTGCCCCCCAGAGCCTCAATTTGTCCTGGTCCCCAGAATTGGCATCAGACACTGAAAAGCTGTCCCACACACAGACCTCCCCCTCACCGGAGGGACATTCCAGCCCCAGGAAGGGACTTGGCACTAAATGGCTGCAGAGAGTCATGTCTTTTGGAAATGAATTGTGTCCTTTTAGAGAGCTGCTCTCTGCAGTCTCTGGGAAGTGACACGTTGTCACTTAAGATCATTAACTATTTGACTGTGAGACTGCTGCCTCTACAGCACGGGCACTGGCAGCGCCTCGCTGCTAATGAATAATAAATTAACACTGTGACTCTGAGCCCTTCCTTTCATCAACCGAGATTTCCAGAGGCCGGAGAATCTCAAAGGATCCTCTGCAAGCAACAGTCAAGGTAATTACCTTCAACCAGCAGCTAGGTGATGGGTGAGGTGCCCGGATGGGCTGTGGCAGTGGTTGCCAGCATCCCCCGGACATCAGCTCTGTTAGCACTGGCTGCCCACGGGTTTTCTGCAACGCCCCTCAGCAATGAGCCAACACAGGCAGCCCAGAGAAAACACCCTGTGACATTGCTCTGGGGAGCAAAACAGATTGCAAAAGGCCTTCTCTCACCTACAGGTGGGTTTTCAATCCTGCTTGCGAGGTGCAGGCAGCTTGGAACGTGGCCTCCCTCACATATTCTCTTGCAGGTGTAAGAAATTGGGGATAACCTGGAAACTGAAACAGGGAGGAGCAGCTCACTGTGCCAGCAAGACCCCTTCTGTGTGACAGAACAGTGCCAGAACACCCCGATTACAAGTCTTGGGACTGTATTTATGTTAAGTTCAGGTTTGCCCGGGGCCCCTTCGTGCTGCCGGGTTACACAGAGTGAGGCTGGGGGAGGCTGCAGGTATTTGTGAGCAGCAGCTGGGGAGGGAGGCAGCTCCTCTCAGCCAGGCACAGAGCAACCCTCAGATCCCCTCAGAGCAGTAAATGGACAGGAGCACCAGCCTGCATCTCCAGCCTGGGTTTTCTTTTGGAAAGTCAGATGAAGTCAGCCCACAAATCTGCCCATTGCCTTTGCGGTTGGGGTTGATATTTTTGTAGCACAGAACACCATTCTCCCTCTCCCTGCAATTTGCCCATTAATTCCCACACCCCAGGGTTGTGGCAGTGGTATAATCATGCAACATATTAGGTAAAACCAAAAATGAGACCAAAGGATGACATAAATGCTGGGTGTTTTTTTTATTATCAGAGGTTTCACGATTGATAGGAGGTTTTTAAGGGTCAGGTCAAGGGTTTAGGAAGTCATCTGCCATGGGGAGCATTGCCAGGTAGGGGTGTTCTTTCTCAGCTGAATCCAGTCGAGAACTTAACATGCATTAAGAGATCTCAAGCCAAGATCTCCACGGCTTCTCCTGCAGAGAAAGAAATCAGTACCTCAGAGACAGAACATCTGGGCTTTTACTGTTGGTCTGTCCCTCTGCACCACAGAGGGACTTCTGAACTCTCTTCCACATATTTACTTTTATTATTGACAAGAAAATTTCTTAATTCGAAAGACCAAATAGTCTGTAGGAAACAGGCTTTGTTTGCTGAGAGAAAGCTCTTTTGCAAATCACTTAAGAGGAAAACTGAGAACACTCTGTTGTCTCTTTACATCTGAAAGAAAGGAGTTCCTAGCAAACTCTCCCAATAAAAAAAAAAAAAATTACCCTTGCTGGTGAGAGAAAAAACAAATGAAATAAAAGAACTTTACTTCTCCGACTTGTCTCCAAGACTGATCAGCCAGTTTAAGCTAATTCACCTCTTAGTAGGTGAAGAGATTTATTCCATACGTACAGGAAGGCATTGCAGAACGTGCATTTGTTGGGGTAGGTGACACCATCAGACCCGCAGTGGGGGACATACTCCATGGAACACACATCCCTGAGACCCCTCTGGTCCTTGCAGTAGACGGATGCAGCCTGTACTCCCAAAAAAAAAAAAAAAAAAAAAAGAGCTCTGAACCAAAGCTGGATGAGAAAGGTGACATTAGGAGGCCCCACACACACCTTGATCTGCCCCCTAACTGCCCAGGAGCAGAGGCTGAGGAAAAGCCCAGGGACAGGGCAGGATGCAGGGGAGTGCTGCCTCCAGCCATGCAGAGCCTGTGTAACACTGCAAATGACGCTGCAGTAACTTTGACAACAACTTGGACACGAACTGAATACTGCCCTGCTTGTTGAAACCATCACCAGATGAAAATGGCAATTTCACCCGATAATATCTGTGGCAAATATTGCTCAGGCAGCTGGGTGCCTCAGGATTTCGAAAGGCTCCATCGTGATGTGATTAGTAAAGATTTATACAGAAACTGCTTTAAGGAAAGAAAAGATGGAGAATAGAAAAATCTGTCCCTTACCTGCAGAGCATCAGTGGCTGGAACTAAAGAAAAAAAAAAAAAGAACAAACGAAATATGTTACAAATGCAATTCATGGATTCTGTTAAAAGATGAGAACGCATGCCCTGAATACATATCCTCCAACTCCCTGTGTGTTAGCAAATTATTCTTAGACAAAAGGAATTTCAGGCAAAATGTTGTGCCATACTGTATGTTGAGTCTGTAGCATTTTTTTAAATAAGAGTTACAGTCAAAATGGGAAAAGCTGCGTAAAATAAAGGAAGAAAAAGGCATTTTCTATGGTTCAAAGGATGGAACAGGACATGAACTCAAAGCAAAGCAAATTATTGAGGCAAACAGGGACATAAAGCAGACAAGTACACAGCATCTTAATATGCATTGCCACTATTATTTTAAAATAAGAACAGTATTTAGTGAGAAGTGAATTTACAAAGCTTCTACAGCAGTTCAGGCTCTCAAACTGCACCTCGTTTCAGGATGACTACAAGAAATGTTCACTTTCATTCAGTAAAATTATTTGTGTTCCTGCAACATTTCAGAGGTTAAATACTGGTTGTCTGAGTCTCCGGGTTGCACCACGTACATGTCACTTCTTTCATTATGCATAAACTAGCACTGAGAGTAGAGCTGTTCCCACAGTTGTTCTTACCCACTCAGTTCTGTTGCTAAAATATTACCCCATAAGTGATAGTCTCTGATGTCAAGTCTTTTCAACACTATCTTTCTAGGAGTAAATAAGTCCTTGCAGAATGGAGCTCTTTCCAGTCTGAGGATGTTTTTTTGTGGTTTTGAAGACAGCCAGCGCTTACTCCAAGGCAGAGCAGGAGGCAGTGGAGCCACTCACCTGAGATGCAGAAAAGGGCCAGAGAGAACAGCAGCAGCACCCCCGTGATCTTCATGGTGGCTGGATGAGCTGTGAGCAGCAGAGCTTGGCTTTTGCTCAGGAAACACAGCCTGGATTCTGTCCTCAGGTGGCAACCACCCTTATATGTATGCCTGCATTACTGGGGGGGTGTGTGTGTTTGTGCATGTTCATATTTGCCTTATCCACCCTTATCCTGGAGCAACATTTCCAGCCTTTTGTCTCAGTGGTAATATCAGTAGAGGTAAGCTGTTCTGTAAGCCAAGAATGGTGTTTCTTCATCAACGGGAGTCACGAGAAGTTTAGATGTGTGAGATACACCCTCTGCGTCGTTATTTTAAGTGAAATATGTGACTGTTTCCTTCTGAAGGACCGCAGAGAATTCCTGCAGGCAAAAGAGCCACTGTACAAAGTGCTGTCAGATTTTCTCTGTGTTCACCTATCACTGCCTATTTTTGTGCAGCGCTTTTTCTCAAGAAAAACATTGAATGAAATGCTTCCGTAGCAGAAAATCTCTCCTTTTATTTTTGTGCTTCACCCAAGTAAAACAGCACTAAGTTATAGTGAAAGTAGGAAAACAATAAACCAGGAAGGTAAGCAAGAGGGTGTCCCAGACACTGAAAGGAGACCTGGGAAATGACAAGGGATGGAGAAACTTTTATGGGACCATGCAAAAAAAAATTACAATTGTTGTTTCCCCTAAAAGCCATTAGCTTTGCAGTAATAGACTTTTAGTATGATGATGACAGAATGATTTGAGACCACAGCATGGATGCTAGAAAAGCTGAACCCCATCTGGAAATCACTGCTTCATCCATCTGCCCATCTCTACATAAATCCTTTGTTTTACCACCAAAGCATTGCTTTTTGTGACAACCTCCATCAAGGAGAACAAGCACCCCTCTCCTTTTGATTCCCAGAAGAAATGCATGTGGGAGATATTACTTTTTAGAAGGGATAAGCCCAGTTTATTTATGCCTCTCTTGTGTGGATCCAAAAAAAAAAAAAAACCCAAACCCAATTCAATACTCAAACAGAAGACAAAAGCAAAATAAATTTCATGCACAATATGCCAATGACAGGTCACACTCTCAAAAAACAGAAGGAAACTTTGTCCTTGGGTTTTGAAACACTGCTGAAATACTCCTTGGGCTGGCAAAGAACATTGTGTAATTGAAGACTGAGAGAAGACAAGTAGGCAGGAGCAGGCACCACACCTAGGAAGGCATTAATCTCAAAACACTTGAAGGGTGTTAAAGGACGACTCCAAGATGAGAAGAATCTGGTAATAAGTCAGTTGGAGGACTTAGACAAATGAACAAGACAATGCACATGTCTGAGAAATATGGGCTTTGCCAACAGAGTGCCCTTGAGAGAGCAACACTTCAGGTGAGGACCAGGGATCAGCTCTGGGCAGTGACACCGAGGTGTGACTGGGTTTTGCTGACAAGGAAAATGCACCAGGAACACCTTAGGAGAGACCCTCCTGTGTCACCACTTCAGCCCTTTCCAATGTCAAACATTAAAGGGTCTGAGCACTAATGCAGGGACACTTCATTTATGTGCAAAGACACACAGCTCTGGGCTTTGAGCGTCTGTATTTCATTCTCTGCCTTTTATGAGAGGGAGGGGAGCAAGATGTTGTTCTTGTTCTATCCCAGAGCTTTGAGCACGTAACCTATTCTGCCCGGTATCATCATTCAACAAATCGTGACCATGTTTCATGAGACAACACATGAAAGAAGACAGGGAAATGTTGCTGATTTAGTTTATTGAGAAAGAAGATCAGGAGTGAGCTGAGTTCCCCAGAGGGTGAGATGAACTGAGGTGAGATCTTTATCTGGGATTTTCCAGCGGGGACCCTGTGATGAATTCTCTTGGCACTGATACTCAGCATTTCCCAAAATGGTTTAAAGTGATAGTCCCATTGCTGTCCCTGAAAGCAAGGAGAGGAAAGAATGAATTAAACACAGAGTCCTGTCTGCTATAATCTGTCCTTTAGATGGCTCCTAGAGATGGTGTCAGATGGGATCCTGCCCCAGAGCCAAGGAACTAGCAGACTAATAATCCCATTTACTATTTGATTATTAAGACATGAGTGAAACAATTTAACCCATTCCTAAGACTGAAAATATCTGTGGGGAAACTATAGTGGTATTTCAAAAGGAAAGGAATTTCATTTCCTTTGCAACATGCAAGAAAAATTCCATTAAGATTAAATGGTCTTCAAACCATTCACACTAACAAAGCAGCCATAGCTTTTTTTATGCTCTAATGAAAAAAAGAAATGAATGCTTGACACGGTGGCTGGCATTCCCTCCTGCCCCAAATCCCTAATCAACATTATCTAGCAAACAAAAAAGCAGTAACTGTGCAAACTTGTGCCCACAGGGGGCAACTGATAACACAAGACATCACTCATATTTGTACATACATGACTGCGTTGCAGAAGGCACACTTATTGCTGTATGTTGTGTTGTCAGAGCCACAGAGAGGCATGTAGGCAAGTGAGCAGACAGGTTTGGGATATTCACTGCAGTCAACCTGTAAAAAATAAATAAAAATCAAAGAGTCTGATGTGAAGGAGTCAGTAACACAAGGGTTTGAACCCTGAGCTAGAGCTGCAGTGCTGGTGATACCAATCTTACTAAAAGTAATTAACTTCCTTGCACATCTGATATAAACAAAGGTGTCAGTATCTCCTATGCCAGGAGAATTTAATAATATAAAAATAGATCATAATTTCCTGTTTGAAGAGATGTATATCATAACCTGGTCACGGCATTTCCAAGCAGCAGCAGCTCACTCGGTGGAGGTGCTGTGCTCTGTGTTCCCAAGCTGGCCAGGAAATTAAATGGAAAAACACTGGTGTCTGGAGAAATGGAGTGCTGATCCTCTGTAAAGATCCACTATCCCTCCTGGAGTCTTAAAACTGGCAGATCAGCATGTAGCTGGATACTGCAGGAGTGGGATTCTGTTTCCTGGAGAAATGGGTGCTACACCTGCTGAGGAACATTGTGGAGATAAAAATGTGTCTGGGTGCAGGAAGAGGCTGAGGAATTTCATGGAGGAGAAATCTATCAAGGCTTACTGACTACACAGGAATCACACCTAGGGTAGAAATCACTCTTTACATTCTGCACTCTCACTCTGTCCTACACAATGCTCACAGCCCCTGCACCAAGTTGCCACGGGCTAGAAGGACCATTGGGCTGACCACAAAAGCCATTCTCTGTTCTTATCCACATTTCTGCCCTATTTCTTCTATCCTTTTACTCATCCCTTCCTGAGCAGTCACCTGCTCCTTTCCTGGCATTCACATGAGTAACTTTTATTACGTGTAGAGAAAGCAAATTTCTCCCATTCTGCAGCACAACAGCTGTTTCACTTTTGCAGGATACTGCTGGTCTGGGGGCTGCTGCAGACACTGGCAGTGCTTTTCCTGACAGCAGCAGGACCAAAACCCAGCCCCTAATCACCCAAAACCCAGCCCCTGATCACCCAATTCACTTACTGTGACAGTTTCCTTCTTGCATTCACCATCAGCCCTCTTGCCAACACTGGTTCCAGCCTCTCTGGGAAGGGAAGAGAGCTGCATTAGGGAGCTCTACAAGCAACCTGTTCTGCTGAACCCCATCACACAGGAATGCTGAGCAGCCTCAGGCACCATGTATGGGATACAGGAGGCATCCAGCTTAGGTGGTGCCCATGTGGCTCCAGGGACCAGCTCAGGTGGCATCACTGCTTGCCAGAGAGCTGGTTTATAGCAAGATGTGAGGGACAGGGCTCAGGGTGGATGAGGAGACAGGCTGTGTGACAATCTCAGTGCCCTCTGGGTTAATTGTCCTCTGCAAGGCAGCATCTGCCACAAAGGCCCTTTTAACTGAGTTTAGAGAAGCATCCTGTCCTGGACGAGACCCCCAGCCAGCCCTCTACTTCTCTGTCTAGACCAAAGGCTTGGCTTTCCTTCTAATCACAGGGGAAAAGAAGGTTTAGTTAGGAGGAAAAGAGGAGGGCCAAAGTCTAAGCACCTCACAGAAAAGGCCTTGGAAGAAGTCCTGCTATCCAAAAGAGCAGTTCCAGGAGCGCCAGGCCCTGGCTGCTGTGCTCAGTACTCACAGGTTCCGGGCGCAGAGCAGGCACTCGTTCTCGTAGGTGACCCAGTCGGTCCCGCAGACAGGGCTGATGTCTTTGTTGCAGAGCAGCACCACTTTGCCCTCCTCACTGGTTGTGTTGGGGTACCTGCTGCAATCCACCTGGTGAGGGAACAAACAAAGCCCTGGTAAAGGCCTTGCTTCCAGCACACAAGTAGATCTGGTGAGTGTGTCTGCCTGGCCACACAGGACACCACCACAGCAGGAGAAAAGCTTTTCTGTCAGTCACTGTGATGGGAGTTCACTTGGAGGAGACCAGTGCAAGATTCTGGCAGCTCATCTGTACTCTTGTTTGGGGTTTGAATTATTTCAATAAGCACCTTTGGCCACTCAGAAGCAGGACATACCCCTTGTTTTGCCCTTGGTTTAACTTACAGGGGTAACTTCCTTGCATTCTCCATCGTGGTCTTTGCTGACATTGGTTCCATATTCTCTGCAGAGGGAAAGACACATGTTAGGAAATTCAGCAAAGATGTTTTGCTACATCCTAGGTGCTAGAATTAATACAAGGGAAGGCTGACTCTTTCTTGGCCAGGCTTCTTTTATATTTGAGAAGGTAGTGCCACTCTCCCTAACCAGCTGAGTAGCTGGCAGAGATGTAAAACCCTGGGAAGCTTTAGGACCATTTTGGGCAGCCTTGAGCAGAGCATCTCCATCCTTTTGCTGTGATGAGATGTGCTCTCAGAGCCATCACCTGACCACTCCTTGAGACAGAAAAGAAAAAATGTGAATAAATTACAGAAGCAAAAGAAAGAGACGGTGACTGAAGCTCTGCCTGAGCGCTGTGCCATGATAGCCAAGCTCATTTTGAAGGAATTAACAGGTGACATGTGATAGAGCACTGATGGGTGAGCCATGGTGCTGCCAGGAGCTCTGAGCTGTGCTGCCTGGGGTCCCCACGCTGTCCCCATGACGTCCCCACGCCGTCCCCACGCAGAACATACGCGTTGTAGGCACAGAGCTGGCACTCGTTGCCGTAGGTGACGCCGTCGGAACCGCAGATGGAGCTGACGGCCGTGCTGCAGACCAGCACCTCTCTGCCCTCCTCATTTGTGGTGTTGGGATATGTACTGCAGTCCACCTGCCAGAGCAATCACAGCAACAGGCTGAGGAGACCTATGACATTCACAGCTCTCATTTTGTGTGGGACACTGAGCTGGTACAACCAGTCCTCACTGCCACAGCACAAACTTCTGCCGTGGGTCCATCAGGGAACGGGTGAATCCTTCCTGCAGAGATGACCCCACAGAGCAGGAGAAGAGGAGGAGGAGGGAAGAGCTAAAACCATGCATCCCTTTGGCTGGGATAAACCAGTTCTTGACATGATTTCATAAAGGCTCTCCATTGGTCCCTAGTTCTTCTATTCTTGTGGCCTCTCTACTGTACTTCTGGTTTTACTTTTTCGTTCTCAATACACTGATCATGTTTGATTTCAGAGGACCAAGACTAATGACCTGTGAAGAAGCTGGATCAGCTCAGAGTATTTTAGTCTTTCAGTAGGTTGCCCTCAGGTAGGTTCTGATACCAGTCTATTGCTTCAGTTTAGAACCAGCTATGTATTTCCAGCTTAAAGCTTAGACCAGTCTAAAGTTACTGAAAAATCAATTAATCCAAAAATATTGTATCATTACCACTAAAACATTATTAACATACAACAGCCAAGGGCAGTATAATTTAATGTTTTACACTGTAGAAGCTGATTAAAGTGACCCAAGTGTCACACTTAGGTGAAAAACAGCTGAGCACCTGCAGGCTGGAGGTTTTTCTCATTCCTTTGGTTATGTCATTATCAGGCCACATACTTGAGAAAGGTGACAGAAAGAAATCTTCCACTTACCTCAATCCCAAAGGCAGTATCTGGAAAAGAAAAGAGAGGCAGAAAGAATGAACAAAAGCCACTATGATAAGTCCTCAATTGAAGCTGGAAATATGGATATACAATTCCTGTGTGCAGAACCAAGCTGAGTGATTTCCAGTGATTGTTTTCTGAACTAAATAAACTATGTATGATTCTTTTTCTTTATGTTGATAAATATAATAGCATTGCTTATTGCTGGCTGTGATGAAACACCTTTTTGAACAGCTTTGTTCTTTTTTCATTCTTAGACATGTAGATTTATTAATTGAAAACAGAAGAGCTTTTCCTTCGTTATCTTTTTACATATCCGTTTTGACCCTAAAGCACTGCTGTTGTGTATTTGAAAATACACCTGAATCAACAGAGACAAATGCAAATAGTCACCTACAGGATACGCAAATACATACAACATCTGTTGACAGAGAAGGCGAGTGTGAAAAAAATGTCTTTGGCTTTGTAATTTCATCAGTTGTGACTATGCAGTGAGAACATCAGAGTCTGGCTTGTTTTCATCTCTTGCTGTTCCATTAGCAGAAAGAGCATTGCAGGAAATTTGCCAGGGTCCTGCAGAGAACTTGCTTGTGCCATTATAATATTTTCCTTACTAGTTACTGGAGGTCTGACCCCCTTCTCATGGCCTTATTTCAAGTATTCATCCATTTTGCTGTAATTGTACAAGTCTAAGCAGTGTAATGGTGTGAGAACATCAGTGTACAAAGTGTAACAGCACAAGTTGCCAGCACAGAACTCCACTTGCTGTTACTTATATTTATGACAAACAATCAGCTACAGCAGCGAGCCATTGAGGACTACCCTGAAATACACTCCCGCAACCTGCACGATGCCAAGCGAGGCAGCAGAGCCCTCTGAAGGATATTTTCTCTCTTTGAGTCCTCTGTCTTATCCTTTTGTCTTATCTTTTTGACTTGGACACCTGGGGATTCACTCACCTGGGACGCAGCACAGCGCGAAGGAGAGGAGCACCACAAGCCCTGCCGTGGTCATGGTGGAGGTGTCTGGAGTCTGCAGGCTGCCTGCTCCCACTCTGCCCACGAGATGCTCCCGCCAGCGCTGCCTGCAAATATATACAAATGCAATGGCTAAACTGTTCAACTGTAACATAAAACAACCTGCAGAATCTGTCACCAGCACAATGAGGCCGGTAATATTTATGGAGGTCTTGACTTTTCAGGTAATGGTCTGCGTCTGCTAGGCAATTGATTTTGGCTGGACACCTGGTTCATAGATCAAGACAAGTATCACAAGTTCTGAGTGGTCAAAAGCAAACAGCCTTTAGGACAAAAGAAATCTCTTTGGGATTCTAGTGGAAATGTAAGGAGCACAAAATATTGAGGAGAGTAAAGAGCAGAACTTTGTCTCTTGCAGAACAACATCTCCCATCAGGGAGCAGCTTAGGCAGGATGCACTCCCACCCTGCCTGCAGACCAGGCTGAGTCTCTGCTTTCCTTTCTGGTTTTGGGTGGGTTTTTCTCCCCAAATTCCCAGATAATCACTTCTAGGGACAACCATCAGCAGCACCAGTTAAGCTTCGTCAGACAAGTCTGGCAGGACTGTGTCCAACCTGTGAATCCAAAGGTTTTTAGCACTAGTTTGAGTAAAGCCAAGGTTTTTACAGTTTCACTGCCTGCGTATAGAGGAGCTCAGTAGAAGACTTGAAAGCAGGTTAAAAATCTGTCAAATGCCACTAAAAATGTCACTTGAACCTTAGCAACAGGGAGCACTTATTTACAGACCCAGTCCCAGTTAAACACACGGATTCAGAGTGTTCCGCCAAGCCACCTGAAGAACAAAAGACACTGAAGGTTTGGGAACCTATTTACATTGCACCAGCTACGCCTGAAAGTACAGTAGGTCCTTTCCTCTTGCAGATATTTTAGAAAATGATACTTAAAATATAGAATCTGTCCCCATTTCCCTGTCTGTCTCACACCACCAGCCTTTGTGTCATCTCCAAATTGCTCCTGCCTAGGAGCAGCTCTGTATCTCTGCTGTTTTAGTAGCTGTAATTTTGTAGGAATGGGTTCTGCCTGTAACCTGTTCTTCATCCTTTTCACAGGTTCAAAATGGCAAGGGTACTGGGGGTTTTCTGGGGGGTCATTGGAGCTGAGCATTGTGCTCAGGGTAGGCTTCAGAACTATGGGAAGTGCAGAGCAAAAGTTGCTGCCTTTAATGAACCAGGTACCACCCATTAGACAAATGAAATTCATCTGAAATCACTGAAATTCACCCCAAGCAAATGTGTTATTGTTTGATCCACCACAGGAGTCTGAAGGGTATATTTTGACCCTTACATGGATATATTGGATAGTGCATGGAATCATCTCTCCTGTCATGCCCAGAAGGCCACAGCATGGCTGTGTGGATATGCAGGTCACATTTTCACATCCAATAGATGAGATTCTTCACAGGGAGAAGCATTGAAATAATTATGCTGCTGTGATTGTTTCTATAAATTACAGGGAGCATGCATGAATATTTCAGACAGATTTGGCACATCTTCAGGATATATTGCCCTGATGTGTCTTGTGAACAGCATCTCTGGAAGCCAAACACTTTTCCCTGAGCATGTGCAGGAGTTGTGGAGCTGCTCCCTACGTGTCACAGCTGCTGCTTTTACCTGTGCAGACTCTGCAGAGCTGGAGGGGGCTACATCTTTCTGGGTTAAATATGGACTTTGCCACTGCCTCCTCCAGTCAAGGCCTCTCCAAATCATCCTCACCAGCCTTTGCAGCCCCACCCCTGGACAGTGCTGTCCTTTGGGCAAGACCAACCTCTCCCGATGAGTGGAGAGCAGCTTCCTGCCAAAGTCTGGCACGTGTTACACCAGAGAAAAATTTTCCACTTCAACTCCTGGGTTCAGCACTACGTTTGGCACTGGCCCCAGGCAACTCAGATTTTCTCTGACCACAATGCCTGTTGGATGTCCAGCAGATCCTTTCTTTCTCTCTCTCACCTACAGACACTTCAGGGAGACACAAGTCTGCAACAATTAAATGGTGACTGGGGAACACCTGAGGCCCTCAGGTACCCCCTAGGCGAGCCACAGAAGCATCAGCCAGAAGTCCCCAGGTTTCAGACACTTGCACAGCCTGCAGCCATTCAGCATCCACAGCCTCCCCACCTAGGGCTGCAGCTCCAGGTTATCCCACCTCTGATAACAGCATGGAAAAATCCCACAGCTGGCTAAACTCATGCTGCAGGACAGGTCGCTCAGGCCTTAGCTGCTCCTGGAAGAACAGTTAGGAAGAGGATTTGGTTTGCAATCCTGCCACTGATCTGCTGTAATCCACTTCATTATGGTCTCCTAATCCTCAAAGTCAGATGCAGCATATGGCTAATGACCATTTGGCTAAAGGAAAATCCTCCGTGTGCAGCAGCCAGCAGGAGGGCAGAGAGCCTACAAGAGAGCTGGAGATGGACTTTGGACGAGAGCTATGAAGTGATAGGACAAGGGGGAATGGAAAGGCTTTAAGCAGGAAGAGGGTAGGTTTAGATTAAGTATTAGGGAGAAATTCCTTAGTGGGAGGTCCTGGCACAGGGTGCCCAGGGGAAGCTGTGGCTGCCCCATCCCTGGAAGTCCACAAGGCCAGGTTGGGCAGGGATTGGAGCAAGCTGGGATAGTGGAAGATGTCCCTGCCTATGGCAGAGGGATTGGACTAAAATTATCTTTAAGGTCTCCTCCCCGAAAATTCTATGATTCTTTAATCCGCAGGTAAGCAAAGACAGTGCCACACCTCAGGGTGCTGCCTGTTACGGTCCTGAGCACCATAAAGTCTGTATGCTGACACCAGGGCAGGATTATACAACATCCTCTCTGATTTACTCGTGTAATTTCTTGTTTTACATTCCCATTACAGGTTTTTTTTTCAGTATCGATTTCATATTCTCTGAAAGAATCAAAACAGAGGGTGAAGAATTTTCTTAGCAGATACGCAACTTCTCAGCATAAATAACACATTGATAAATAAATGGCAAATCATTTAATACACTTTTCTAAACACTCCTGGGGTTTGTCACACTATTTAATTAACAAATAACTGCTGTAAAAGTGGGAAATGCCGACAGGTTGCAGCTCTTTCATGAAAATGCCTCTAATCTCCGCAAAATTCCTGCTAAACACAATTCAGGCTGCAGTTTTCATCTCTGGCTTTCTTTTGGCCACAGTGTGGCCAATAACTGCTTGCACTGAGCCACATGCCTGGAGAAACCAGTCCAGCACAAATGGAAGCCCTGCCTCTCACCCGGTGCTTGAAGGCCTCACTTGAACTGAGCAATAAAGCAAACAAAGTCACTGATATGATTAAAAACATCTCGCTATCAAAACATATCCATGTGTTTAAGAACTTATTAAATATAACTTGATCCAGGTAATGCCAGTGGATGTTTTCCTGAGCTAATAAGACCATGTACAGAACTTTGTACCCTGCAGGTGAGGGCTAACGTGGTTTCACATTGCTTATGCAATGAATTCAATGTATTTGGCCCCACTACAAGGGCAGATGTTGACACATGGGAACAAATCCAGCAGAGGCAGGCAGGTTACCCAGCGACAGGGGCACAGGGCATTCCAGGAAAGCTGAAGGAGCTGGGCTTCTTCATCCTGGAGAATAGATGGCTCCTGGTATCACATTGCTGTCTGCAGCTCCCTGATGGGGTTAGAGATAAGGCAGAGCCAGAGTCTTCTCTAAGCTGTATGGAAAAGGGATTAAATTCTGAATGAATGTGAGGAATTATTCGTTGTCATGAGGATGATCAAGCACAGAAAGCAGAGAGGCCATGCATATCCTTCCTCAGTGCTATTGAAAACCCAACTGAAAAAAGAAAGGCCTTGGGCATCCTGACCTGCCTTTGACTTTGGCCTTGCTTTGATCAAGGCTTGAGCCAGAGACCTCTGGAGAGCTCTTACAACTTGAATTAGTTTATTTATATTGTACTTATATAATTCTCTCTCCTATAAATAGTTGTTATTAATAGAAAAAAAGTCATATTACTCTATGACCCAGGAGAGCCTTCTCAGAATTTTCCTCCAGCCTTTTCTAAAGGGTCACAGGTAAGCTCTACAAAGAGCTCCCAGAATGTTATTACAGGGGGTGACCAGTAACATGTACATCAGAAAGAGTGGATTGTAATCATTCTTAAAATAAAGCCACACAATAAACCATCCAAATTTTAATACATTATTAGCTCTCAATGATTTTCAAGTCTCCTCACTTCTGCATGAGCCCAGCACTTTGCCACCACTACCATTGTCCAGAAAACATCAGCATTTGAATCTCAAGGAAAGTTATCTGCATCACAGAAAATCAGGTGCCAAAATATCATCCACTTCCCTGCTGTGCTGCAGCCTGGACCAGACGTGGGTGGCAGCAGCAGCAGCAGCTCTGAGGACACATCTCCATCCTTCACCTCCCCAGCTTGTGCTCTGCTCCAGCTCTGAGAAGTTTTTGGGTGATAAGGATGTCAGGCCAGGGCTCCACTGCAGAGGCAGGAGTCACTCATGAGGAAGCAGGACAATGCTACAATGAACATCAGAAAAAGGCAGCAACCAACACAATTTGGCTGGACACTGACCCAGGTTATTGCTCTTTGAAGTGAATGTACTGCAGGGAAGGTGGGCTGGAGGTAACACAGAGGTATTAACCTGCAGCTGATCAGAGGAACGGGAAATCATTGCTTTAATCAGTTTCCCTAACACTTCAGTGATCTCAGCTCTGCATCACTGAGCACTCGTCTCATCTTTGCCACAGCCCAAGCAGGAGCAATGAGGAGGTGGCTGCAGGGAAGTGGCAGCTGACCTGGGATTGACACCATTCATGGCTGCCTGGCAGGACAGATCAATCAGGCAACTTCACTGCCAGGGCTGGGAAAGTCTCCTGCAGAAGAAAATCTTCCAAAGGTAGCAAAACAGATAATAAAATTCAATAGATTCTTATCTGCAATGAGACATTATTTATAGCTCAACGCACAGTTAAAATAGAACGAAT